GAGAGAACTTGAGCGTCTAGCTTCAGAAATGACCTCTTTAAACCTCGAAGGTTCGCCTGGCCGTAAAGTTATGTATATGTACATAACTTTGCAGCCGTGCCATGAATCAATAACACATGATCGCAAAAAGAGCTGCACTGAAATACTGATTGAATTCTATGAAAAAAAAATTAAAGGATCGGGCATTCATTTCATAGTGAAACCAACCTTTATTTACAAGGTGAGTATTAGGCGATGCACGATAATATTATTCGTTTGGTTAGCTATATTAATTTCCCTTACGGATTGATTCTAATCAGTTTATGTCATTCATAAATCTATGTAGCTTTTACGTTTTTAAGTATTTCCTTGTCCAATTGTTTTTACAACATTCGCTAAAATACAGAGACAACGGGAGGTGGTGGGGCTGCATGGGCTATAGCCCCCACACTTCTTGCTAAAAGCAACTAAATTTTTCAGCCCCCTGCCCCACTAGCGTTTTGCATGGCTAGTCTCTTTTATTTTTCAGTCTTAGCCCCGCTCCCCTTTTGAGGGTGCTCCGCGGTCAGGCCTCGAAATAAGGACAAATTAACAAAATGTCAGTTTAACAATTACAACAACAACACAACGCAACAACAAGGAGCGGCCTCCTGGGCCAGGGTTCGAATTCTTAACCTCGAGGCTAAGAATCTGACGCTCTGACCAAAAGATGGACCAGAAAGAAGTACTATTTATATCTGGTTGGAATCGATAGACCTTTTTACTTTGGGCGTAACGTATTTCTATTTCAGACCACGGTTATTCACTTGAGAATAAGATTCTTTGTTTGAGTTGTATCCATATTCATGTGTCTTCTCATGCGCAACCGTTAAACAAAGAAATAATACTCTAGGGAATGACATATGGTCTGAAATGGAAGAAAACATTACGCCCAAGCCGAAAAGGTCTTGCTTCTGAATTCAGTATAATGAATGCTTGCTTTCAAGGTTTCCTACTTTTCTTTGTTAAACAAATCTAGATCTTATCTCAGTTAATGACAAATAGGGTAGGATAGTTATAGACTTGCCTAGATTTCTATTATATTCTATTGTAATATTTTTGGACTTACATTTAGGGGTATTTGGATC